TTGTGTGTGTGTGTGTGTGTGTGTGTGTGTGTGTGTGTGCGTTTGTGTGTGTGTAGGCAGAATCTCGCCTGCGTTTCATCGATGAAAATTGGTACAACCACAGTGAACACTTATTACCCCTCCAAGCATGAGTAGAAAATGAATTCTTTACAATTAGAAACAAAGAAAAAGATTCGGACTAGTCTTTGAGCATAATACGTGTAATACATGCCTTATGAAGGCCGCAGATTCCTGGACCCGAGAGTAGCAATGCAATTAAGATCTGAGACGTTCTTCGTACTTAAAGTTGGTTTTGGTGTCAGGTCAAGATATCATTATCATAAAACCCTTATCTTAAGCAGATCCGAGCATGAATGTCGGGAACATTCAAGGGGTCCGTCAAGAGTCCCCTGTGTTTGGTGAGAATGTTGACAGCTCTCTTTTGTGCCAGCACCTACAACTTTACTGATGAAGGGATTGATACGGAGCGTAAGGTACTGCTTTTGTAGCAAACGACACGGTTGGTTGTGTCCTATTACGTCAGTTTTGGTGTGTTCACTTCCAGGGCATTACATGTCGTATCATGTGAGGTAAACACTAGATCTGGGCGGCTACGTTCCCGATTATTAAAAGCTGAGAATCGTATGACTCGACTCCGAACCCGATTACTTAATTACTTTCTAATAATGTGATTTCTTCTGGTGGTGACCTGGTTGGCTCTGAACATCTTTAGGGTTTATGATAACCTTGATTTCAGAACGCTACGAAGCATCAACAAATGTTTTTCAAAAATAAATTCTAAAAAAGAAAAAAAAAATGTTAATGATCAAAGTTACTGGTAACCGTTGGTTTGTGTAAAAAGGAGTCGGAACTCTTCTTCCGCAGCATAAATGGTAGGAAATCGGTTCCGGAATCGTTTCTTCGCCCAGCTTCAGTAAACACGGCCTGGGAGGCTTTTCTTCCCTGACTCAATGTTTCCTAGCACGGCTGCCGTTTTGCAGTTGGTTCAATGGAGATCTCCAGCTCCTGACACAATTGTCCATTAATCGTCCTTGAAGACACATCATGGCTTCTTAACTATATTCCCAGATGATAGTGTGTATTGCGTCAAACAATATATTCCGTAATTTCCAACAGAAGTCACGTGGGTACAGGCACGCAGCTTGCCCTATCTACCAACTCCTTAAATAAATTATATCCCAATCTCCTCCGACTTTCAAGCTAAGGACATCCGAAATATGTGCCTCTGTGTGTTCTAGAGTCATCTTGGGTAATAATGTTGGTTGTAACAGTTTGCTGTTAAACTGGATGCGATAAATAAATAAATGTTATTTATAATTTTCTTTTTCTTTGGAAATTATAATGCCCTTCTTATTCAGTCACTGCTTTTAGAGTTGTTTCCACTTTTAGCTCCGCTATTCCAATTCAACAAAAGGCTAACTAGTCATGGGACACGTTATTCGAGAATCCCCATTATTTAGTCTCATAATCTTGGAGTCAGGCTGCCTGTCATTGCTAAACCACTCAGTGAAAGATTATGTCCTGCTGTGTATCACAAAATAGTGGAATACGTTATGATATCCGAAAATTGAGGAACTTGTGGGATACATGCGGACGCTTTGTTCTTGCCAACCCGACTACATTCCTTTGCGTGAACAACCTTTAGATCATCCAAAGTGAGAGCGTGGATTGAATGAAACAGAAGAGAGCTTCAAAATCGCACAGTTATGTGGAGAATCCCACAAGAGGCACACAAAGAACCCATACAATGAGAACAGAAACAGTTTCAGTTTTCCTAATAATGATCCTGAAATAGAACAGGCCCGATGTTGCTACTAAACCATGTCTTTGAAAGAGATAGCACGCTATCTCGTCTCTTGACGGCACGCCTGTATGTTGTATGCTGATGCGGTACTCAATTCACACAAACGTGAATGGTAAGAAAAAAGCCCCAGAAGCTTGCACCCGTCTCCTTAAAGGATAAAATGTATGACAAAATGCACATCATTTTGTTTAACAGTAGAGTGGAATGACGTCTATACGATTCTCAGGTCAGACGCTACTTTTGGAGCAGTTGCCACATCCTGTGACGTCCATAGAAGTCAACTCGAGTTCCGCTAAGTCTCGGAGGTTCGTCGACCGACTCTGCCAGGAGGCCTGGCGATGCAGCATGGCACGTGACCTTGTGTGACGTGGCAACTTCCAGCACGTGCACAGGGCGTGGTAGAATGTGTTCCGGAAGTGACGTGACATGAACCCGTAGATGATTGGGTTGATGCAGGAGTTGGCGTAGGCCATCAGATAGAATGCTTGTCGCATTGGCTTCAGGTAGCCGTAATTGAGATGATGCAGGTACCCAAAGGCTGTCAGGGTGTTACTGATGAGGATAGGAGCCCAACAGATGACGAAGACGAGGATGACCGCTACTAGCATTTTGATGACCTGTGGGTGATGAAGAGAAAGGGAGATAGATGGAGTAAGGCTATTGCATGGGATGTTCAAGAAGCACAAATCAAATAAGGTAATCATATTATGTGGCTTGTTTGATGCATTCATTGTTAATTAGTGAGGCTACATGTTTGTCTGTCGCTGGCAAGTTTAATTCTAAAGAAACTTCTACGGAAAAAAGAAAGAAATAAAGAAAGAAAGAGAGAAAGGGAGAGAGAGAGAGACAGAGAGACAGAGAGACAGAGAGACAGAGAGACAGAGAGACAGAGAGACAGAGACAGAGAGACAGAGACAGAGAGACAGAGAGACAGAGAAAGAGAGAGGAAGAGAGAGGAAGAGAGAGGACGAGATAGAGAAATTGGGGAGGGGGTGGAGTGAGAGAGGTAGGAGGGATACAGACAGAGTCAAAAAGAGACAAAAAGTCAGCAAGAAGTAGCTAAAATTAGAAAAATAATTATCATCAGTTGGAACGCCTTCCTGAGAGCAACACAACTAGACCAAAAATATACCAGCAAGTTTAGAAGTTAAGATAAAATATCACATAAACAGTTCAGAAGTTAAGAAAAATAGAGCCAAAAAAATCAGAAGTTGAGAAAATGTGTACGCTATCTGCATTTGAGAAGAAAAGAAAACAGAAAAACGACAACTGCAGAAAGAGACGAAATAAACCACAGACACACAAACACGCATGATGACGAGATAACAGCTATTTTCTAAGGGAAGCAACCGAAGGGAAGCCAACTAACACATTTGTCACAAGATTGCTTGCCCCTGACATTTCAGACTTTTCGTCCGAGAGAAAGGTTGAAACGGCACTACAGGTTCAAAAAGCGCGTGAAGTCCTTGATAAGAATGGCTTGGTCTTAATACTCTCCTTGGTGGCATTTGCGTTTGTTGGATCCAGAGGGAACGTGTCTACCTAATGTTTCATGGGGCAAGGTTGTCCCTTATGCGGACTGCACTCCTATTCATTTCAACTCTCTTTACGTACGTTGAGATTGTCGTACATAACTTATTGTCAGATGCGTTGTGACTTTTGGTCTAAAGCATGGTCAACTCACAAAAGCTGCTACACATAAGGACAATTCCTTTTAGTTAGGAGAGATTGCATTCTTGATCTCAAGAGGTGATATTGGAAAATCACAATGTAAACATCGATTAAACATCTGTTTCTCTCTCCTTCTCTCTCTCTCTCTCCCTCTCTCTCTCTCTCTCTCTCTCTCTCTCTCTCTCTCTCTCTCTCTCTCTCTTTCTCTCTCTCTCTTTCTCTCCTTCTCTTCCTCCCTTACACACACAAACACAAACACATACTAACACACACACAAACACACTCTCAAACACACACACACATGCACACACACACACACACACACACATGTACACGCAAATTCACGCCTTACTCACAGCTACATGTAATAAGAACCTAGTTTTTAAACTGTCAATATTAACCCTTAAACCCTACCTACATTTCCAACAAGAACAGACAGATATAGAAATTCATTCGTACCAACTGCAGTGAGTTTACTGAACATACAGTCATACAAATGAAACACAGATAGAGGGAGAGAGAGAGAGAGAGAGAGAGAGAGAGAGAGAGAGAGAGAGAGAGAGAGAGAGAGAGAGAAAGAGATAGAGAGAGAGAGAATGCTTTACGGAGCGGGTTTTCCCAGCACATGAGACATATATTTACTTAATATGTCCTGTCTCGTTGTGCGTATGCATGAGTGGTGCACCTAACCTTTATAACGTCTACTGCCATTGCTAACGACAAGACACATTTTTCCCTGAGAGACGAATAAAGATTGTCATTGCCGTTGTCATTGTCTACCTGCTTCTTTGTTTTGTCCTCATCCCCGTCACTGTTACTTGTCCGAATAACGGGCGATCTCTCACTGTTTCTTGCTGGGGACAGGCTGGCGATGCTCTGATGGCCAGGACTGGAACCTCCACTTCTTCAAAGAAAAGGAAGAGAAACACGTTTATTATGGAAAGGGGAGTAAAGGTGAAACAAAGATCCAATACATACTAACTTTTGTGTGTTTGTGCTGGTGAGTAGGCTGAATATTTGAGGCAAAGTCTCTAATAGTAATGTGTTAATTGTTGTTGCTGTTGTTGTTGTTGTTATTGTTATTGTTATTTTTGTTGTCGTTGTTGTTGTTGTTGTCGTTGTTGTTGTTTGGCAGTGTCTATTTTGTTTGATTATTACCCATTTTATACGATAACAAGAAGATACGAATTACCACAGAAAGAATATGTTTGGAAGAAGAAAAAATAAGGCAATGTGACATTGGTTTTGCGAAAGCAATTATTTCAGCACAACTGCTAACCTCCTTCCG